CCATTGCTGTCCCAGGCCGTAATTGCCAGGGCCCCCGTTACCGCCTCCTCAGCGTTTCCAGGCCCAGAGTTCCATGGGTTTTCCCTGTAGGGCCCCCCATTGTGTGTCTCCATCGCACTTTCAGGTCTCCTCACACTGCTGGTGGGTTCCATTTTGTCATAGGGTGCTGGCAGATTACGGGCCTCCCATTGCTGCTGCCAGGCCCGTAATCTGCCATGGGCCCCTGTACCGCCTCCTCATGCTGCTGCCAGGTCCAGAGTGTCTCATGGGTCCCTGTACGGCCTCCCATTGCTGCTGTCTCCATCGCCACACTCTGCCATGTGCCACTTTCAGGTCTCCTCACACTGCTGGTGGGTTCCATTTTTGTCATAGGGTGCTGGCAGATTACGGGCCTCCCATTGTAATCTGCCATGGGCCCCCGTACCGCCTCCTCATGCTGCTGCCAGGTCCAGAGTGTCTCATGGGTCCCTGTACGGCCTCCCATTGCTGCTGTCTCCATCGCCACACTCTGCCATGTGCCACTTTCAGGTCTCCTCACACTGCTGGTGGGTTCCATTTTGTCATAGGGTGCTGGCAGATTACGGGCCTCCCATTGCTGCTGCCAGGCCCGTAATCTGCCATGGGCCCCCGTACCGCCTCCTCATGCTGCTGCCAGGTCCAGAGTCTCTCATGGGTCCCTGTACGGCCTCCCATTGCTGCTGTCTCCATCGCCACACTCTGCCATGTGCCACTTTCAGGTCTCCTCACACTGCTGGTGGGTTCCATTTTGTCATAGGGTGCTGGCAGATTACGGGCCTCCCATTGCTGCTGCCAGGCCCGTAATCTGCCATGGGCCCCCGTACCGCCTCCTCATGCTGCTGCCAGGTCCAGAGTCTCTCATGGGTCCCTGTACGGCCTCCCATTGCTGCTGTCTCCATCGCCACACTCTGCCATGTGCCACTTTCAGGTCTCCTCACACTGCTGGTGGGTTCCATTTTGTCATAGGGTGCTGGCAGATTACGGGCCTCCCATTGCTGCTGCCAGGCCCGTAATCTGCCATGGGCCCCTGTACCGCCTCCTCATGCTGCTGCCAGGCCCGTAGTCTGTCATGGGTCCCTGTACGGCCTCCCATTGCTGCTGTCTCCATCGCCACACTCTGCCATGTGCCACTTTCAGGTCTCCTCACACTGCTGGTGGGTTCCATTTTGTCATAGGGTGCTGGCAGATTACGGGCCTCCCCCTTGCTGCTGCCAGGCCCGTAATCTGCCATGGGCCCCCGTACCTGTACCGCCTCCTCATGCTGCTGCCAGGTCCAGAGTCCTCATGGGTCCCTGTACGGCCTCCCATTGCTGCTGTCTCCATCGCCACACTCTGCCATGTGCCACTTTCAGGTCTCCTCACACTGCTGGTGGGTTCCATTTTGTCATAGGGTGCTGGCAGATTACGGGCCTCCCATTGCTGCTGCCAGGCCCGTAATCTGCCATGGGCCCCCGTACCGCCTCCTCATGCTGCTGCCAGGTCCAGAGTCTCTCATGGGTCCCTGTACGGCCTCCCATTGCTGCTGTCTCCATCGCCACACTCTGCCATGTGCCACTTTCAGGTCTCCTCACACTGCTGGTGGGTTCCATTTTGTCATAGGGTGCTGGCAGATTACGGGCCTCCCATTGCTGCTGCCAGGCCCGTAATCTGCCATGGGCCCCCGTACCGCCTCCTCATGCTGCTGCCAGGTCCAGAGTCTCTCATGGGTCCCTGTACGGCCTCCCATTGCTGCTGTCTCCATCGCCACACTCTGCCATGTGCCACTTTCAGGTCTCCTCACACTGCTGGTGGGTTCCATTTTGTCATAGGGTGCTGGCAGATTACGGGCCTCCCATTGCTGCTGCCAGGCCCGTAATCTGCCATGGGCCCCTGTACCGCCTCCTCATGCTGCTGCCAGGTCCAGAGTGTCTCATGGGTCCCTGTACGGCCTCCCATTGCTGCTGTCTCCATCGCCACACTCTGCCATGTGCCACTTTCAGGTCTCCTCACACTGCTGGTGGGTTCCATTTTGTCATAGGGTGCTGGCAGATTACGGGCCTCCCATGCTGCTGCCAGGCCCGTAATCTGCCATGGGCCCCCGTACCGCCTCCTCATGCTGCTGCCAGGTCCAGAGTCTCTCATGGGTCCCTGTACGGCCTCCCATTGCTGCTGTCTCCATCGCCACACTCTGCCATGTGCCACTTTCAGGTCTCCTCACACTGCTGGTGGGTTCCATTTTGTCATAGGGTGCTGGCAGATTACGGGCCTCCCATTGCTGCTGCCAGGCCCGTAATCTGCCATGGGCCCCCTGTACCGCCTCCTCATGCTGCTGCCAGGTCCAGAGTCTCTCATGGGTCCCTGTACGGCCTCCCATTGCTGCTGCTGTCTCATCGCCACACTCTGCCATGTGCCACTTTCAGGTCTCCTCACACTGCTGGTGGGTTCCATTTTGTCATAGGGTGCTGGCAGATTACGGGCCTCCCATTGCTGCTGCCAGGCCCGTAATCTGCCATGGGCCCCCGTACCGCCTCCTCATGCTGCTGCCAGGTCCAGAGTCTCTCATGGGTCCCTGTACGGCCTCCCATTGCTGCTGTCTCCATCGCCACACTCTGCCATGTGCCACTTTCAGGTCTCCTCACACTGCTGGTGGGTTCCATTTTGTCATAGGGTGCTGGCAGATTACGGGCCTCCCATTGCTGCTGCCAGGCCCGTAATCTGCCATGGGCCCCCGTACCGCCTCCTCATGCTGCTGCCAGGTCCAGAGTGTCTCATGGGTCCCTGTACGGCCTCCCATTGCTGCTGTCTCCATCGCCACACTCTGCCATGTGCCACTTTCAGGTCTCCTCACACTGCTGGTGGGTTCCATTTTGTCATAGGGTGCTGGCAGATTACGGGCCTCCCATTGCTGCTGCCAGGCCCGTAATCTGCCATGGGCCCCCGTGTACCGCCTCCTCATGCTGCTGCCAGGTCCAGAGTGTCTCATGGGTCCCTGTACGGCCTCCCATTGCTGCTGTCTCCATCGCCACACTCTGCCATGTGCCACTTTCAGGTCTCCTCACACTGCTGGTGGGTTCCATTTTGTCATAGGGTGCTGGCAGATTACGGGCCTCCCATTGCTGCTGCCAGGCCCGTAATCTGCCATGGGCCCCCGTACCGCCTCCTCATGCTGCTGCCAGTCCAGAGTCTCTCATGGGTCCCTGTACGGCCTCCCATTGCTGCTGTCTCCATCGCCACACTCTGCCATGTGCCACTTTCAGGTCTCCTCACACTGCTGGTGGGTTCCATTTTGTCATAGGGTGCTGGCAGATTACGGGCCTCCCATTGCTGCTGCCAGGCCCGTAATCTGCCATGGGCCCCCGTACCGCCTCCTCATGCTGCTGCCAGGTCCAGAGTCTCTCATGGGTCCCTGTACGGCCTCCCATTGCTGCTGTCTCCATCGCCACACTCTGCCATGTGCCACTTTCAGGTCTCCTCACACTGCTGGTGGGTTCCATTTTGTCATAGGGTGCTGGCAGATTACGGGCCTCCCATTGCTGCTGCCAGGCCCGTAATCTGCCATGGGCCCCTGTACCGCCTCCTCATGCTGCTGCCAGGTCCAGAGTCTCTCATGGGTCCCTGTACGGCCTCCCATTGCTGCTGTCTCCATCGCCACACTCTGCCATGTGCCACTTTCAGGTCTCCTCACACTGCTGGTGGGTTCCATTTTGTCATAGGGTGCTGGCAGATTACGGGCCTCCCATTGCTGCTGCCAGGCCCGTAATCTGCCATGGGCCCCCTGTACCGCCTCCTCATGCTGCTGCCAGGTCCAGAGTCTGTCATGGGTCCCTGTACGGCCTCCCATTGCTGCTGTCTCCATCGCCACACTCTGCCATGTGTGCCACTTTCAGGTCTCCTCACACTGCTGGTGGGTTCCATTTTGTGCTGTCATAGGGTGCTGGCAGATTACGGGCCTCCCATTGCTGCTGCCAGGCCCGTAATCTGCATGGGCCCCCGTACCGCCTCCTCATGCTGCTGCCAGGTCCAGAGTCTCTCATGGGTCCCTGTACGGCCTCCCATTGCTGCTGTCTCCATCGCCACACTCTGCCATGTGCCACTTTCAGGTCTCCTCACACTGCTGGTGGGTTCCATTTTGTCATAGGGTGCTGGCAGATTACGGGCCTCCCATTGCTGCTGCCAGGCCCGTAATCTGCCATGGGCCCCCGTACCGCCTCCTCATGCTGCTGCCAGGTCCAGAGTGTCTCATGGGTCCCTGTACGGCCTCCCATTGCTGCTGTCTCCATCGCCACACTCTGCCATGTGCCACTTTCAGGTCTCCTCACACTGCTGGTGGGTTCCATTTTGTCATAGGGTGCTGGCAGATTACGGGCCTCCCATTGCTGCTGCCAGGCCCGTAATCTGCCATGGGCCCCCGTACCGCCTCCTCATGCTGCTGCCAGGTCCAGAGTCTGTCATGGGGGTCCCTGTACGGCCTCCCATTGCTGCTGTCTCCATCGCCACACTCTGCCATGTGCCACTTTCAGGTCTCCTCACACTGCTGGTGGGTTCCATTTTGTCATAGGGTGCTGGCAGATTACGGGCCTCCCATTGCTGCTGCCAGGCCCGTAATCTGCCATGGGCCCCCGTACCGCCTCCTCATGCTGCTGCCAGGTCCAGAGTGTCTCATGGGTCCCTGTACGGCCTCCCATTGCTGCTGTCTCCATCGCCACACTCTGCATGTGCCACTTTCAGGTCTCCTCACACTGCTGGTGGGTTTCCATTTTGTCATAGGGTGCTGGCAGATTACGGGCCTCCCATTGCTGCTGCCAGGCCCGTAATCTGCCATGGGTGCCCGTTGCTGCTGCCAGGCCCGTAATCCCATGGGCCCCTGTACTGCTCATGCTGCTGCAGGTCAGTCTGTCATGGGTCCCTCTGGGTCATGGGTCCCTGTACGGCCTCCCATTGCTGCTGTCTCCATCGCCACACTCTGCCATGTGCCACTTTCAGGTCTCCTCACACTGCTGGTGGGTTCCATTTTGTCATAGGGTGCTGGCAGATTACGGGCCTCCCATTGCTGCTGCCAGGCCCGTAATCTGCCATGGGCCCCCGTACCGCCTCTCATGCTGCTGCTGCCAGGTCCAGAGTCTCTCATGGGTCCCTGTACGGCCTCCCATTGCTGCTGTCTCCATCGCCACACTCTGCCATGTGCCACTTTCAGGTCTCCTCACACTGCTGGTGGGTTCCATTTTGTCATAGGGTGCTGGCAGATTACGGGCCTCCCATTGCTGCTGCCAGGCCCGTAATCTGGGCCCCGTATGGGCCCCCGTAATCTGTACCATGGGCCCCCGTACCTCCTCATGCTGCTGCCAGGTCCAGAGTGTCTCATGGGTCC